AGACATGATAGCTAATTTGTGGAGCTATAATGATAAAAAGATTGTAATGATGGAAGAGATGAAATTAATAAATGAAGAATTACTGAATAAGAAATAGAATATAGTTGAGAAATGTAAGAATGTAATTATGGAAATAATATGCTTAAATAAGAGAAATTATGGACACCTGAATTGTAAATAATATCTTTGTTTAAGGCTAAGTTAGATATGGTATTTGGAAATTAATAAACCTAAAAACAGGGTTTGATTTATATTGATGAAAGTTGCTGATAACTTCTATTGATTAATTGAATTCTTATTTAGGAATGTATTAATGAATTAATTTTACTTAGAAATGTATTCGCTTGACTATATTATTCTAATTGTTAGAGAGGGAATTTTTTTTTTGAAAGACATTTTATTGGTTTTTTAATTCTTAGAAAAAAGTACTCAGGACACACCATGGTGTTTGGGTAATCAAACATATATAAATAACTCACTCAATATAATCAATGTCCCCCCTCTATTTCCCTCAAATAGCATAGTACATTTAAAATATTCCATTTCTAATTTAAATTTCTATAACTTGTAAACCTGTTTTAAAACTTTGTAAGTTTACAATTACCATAATCAAATTTAACTTTAAATCAACAAATTATCAATTCAGGTATCCCTTTCAAATATATTCTAATTCTTAATCTCTCATATCCCTCATTTTATCACAAGTCTCATTTATTTCTTCTTCCACTACACACATGTCATAATTAAGATAAAATATTACTCTACCCTATACATATATAATCCATCAATCGATCAATCTTTTTAACCTAACAAAATGTTAAACCTTAACTCATTTCAATTCATTAAACAAAATTCAAATTTCATCCAATTGATTATCATGCCTTATCACTTCTACGTTATCATACAAAAACATCATCTTACTAATTTAAAATATTCAATTAATTATTGAAACAATCCAAATCTAAAAAGCCAGTGTTTTTTCCATTCCAATACATAATAATTTTCATGAAAATAAATCTATTATTCCAAAAAGTACATTCTTAGTCTATTTAAAACATCTGTTCTAATAATCACCCTCCTATTTTTTCCCTTACTTCTAGCTCTAAATCTTATTCCTTAAAACTGTCCATACATCAAGATTGCCTTTTAATCCATTACACAATTTTAAATTTCTCTTTTCAGTCTTATTCTAGCTTTTTTTCTGTGCCAGGCAGGTTTCCATAACCAAGCTTCCCTTTCTGCCAGTAGATCTCTCTTTGCTTGTAGTGACCTTTGAAACAATAGGAGTCCCATCCTCTGCATTAGGCATCTATTTCTCTCATCCTCAAAGTTTCGTTGCTTTAAAGTTTCCAGTCTCAATCTTTGATTCTTCTGACCCTCAAAGTTGTAGATAAAAATTTTATAAGGTAAAATAAGTTCCTCTTTTATCTCAGTTGTTTTCTCTTCTAATATGTTTTGATTTATAGGATGGTCAGATGTAGTGTGGAGATCAGTTTGAAGGTTTGACGTGAGACTTCTGGATCTTAACTCTGTAGTAAACTCTTTCATTGTAGCACATATTTCTGCAGTAGCCTCATAAATCTTTTCCAATATAAGTTTGCAGTTTAATTGTAGATGAGCTTTCTCCATTTTGATAGTAATTAAAGAGAGTCTCTTTTTTTCTCTTCTTCTTGTGGAGGCTGTGTTTAATAAAAGTTAAGCAGTATCCACCCCCAGAATTCTCACAGCTGCATCAGCTTATCTTTTCTCTTCAAAAATAATTTGAAGTTCAAGTCTATTCCATCTCCCAAGAATAACCAGAAGCTACGATATTAGGTTTTTGCCACTAGATGTCCTCAGTGAATAAAAAAAATCTTTTCCAGACACCATTTCCCCCCCTTTTTTTCTTTTAAAGTATGTGAAAAAAGAAATAATATTCCAGCATAAAATGATAATACAGCTCTTAGGAAAAAAAAAATTCTGTATCCCAAAGCATATAGAAATAAAGTATAGTCTTTAAAATTTTATTCTATTCTTTTGTTCAACGCCTTTCTTCCCAAACATGTAGAAGCTACCTTTTCAAGCCAGGGAAATAATTCCAACAAGGCTATTACAGGCAAAAAAAAAGTAAGCTAAAGTGAAGAGAGGAGCAAAAAAAAAAAAAAAGCCTCACCCGGATTCATCACGGTGGTTCTTACAGCTTAGATGTTCTTTGACTTGTGGTTTGGGGCAGCAAGGTGATCGGCCATTTTACTGGCCGATCTTCTTCTCCATCGGCCCTCAGAGATGGCTCGGACAGCTAGAGGAGTCGCCGCTCCTCCGCAGCCGAGCGAAGCCTCTTCAACAGAAGTCGCACCCTCCAGGGCGACTTTCGACCCGCATAAGGGTCTACCGGTAGAGGGAAGCTAGCGGACGAGGAGATAAGTCTCTTCGTGCGGCTAGAGGCGCCGCAATCCAGAACCGGAAGTCGTTAGAGAGGGAAATTTTAAGGAGCATTACTTGAGCCATATGTGTATGATGTTATTGTACTTAACTGATTACCCTATCTCCATGTTGTTTCTTAAGCATTCTGGTGTAAAAATGGAAAAATCAATAAAATTGTTTGGAAAGCTATGTAGCCAGCTGCCCAACATGTGCAGCTGCAAAGAGACTGCAAGGGAAATCACCCAGGCTGTTGCAACCAGTAGCAAGCCCCTCAGCTCCATGGAAGGAAATCTCCATGGATTTTATAGTAGAACTACCAGAAAGCAGTGGAAATACAGTTATTTGGGTAGTCACAGATCTGTTTTCCAAGCAAGTGCATTTCATTCCCTGCTCAAAAATCCCAACCGTCAAAACCCTAGCAAAACTGTTCGTTCAACATCTACAGCCAACGCATCATATCAGACAGGGGGGTGCAATTCACCTCCGAGTTCTGGAAAGAGTTTCAATCCCTTTTAGGGACCACCCAAGGACTGTCATCTAGTCATCATCTGCAAACGAATGATGGGACGGAATGTTCGAACTCAGTACTTGAACAATATTTAAGATGCTTTATTAATTACCAGCAAACTGGACTGACTTACTTCCGTCCGCAGAAGTTGCCTACAACAATGCAGTTCACTCCAGCACGGGTTACACCCCTTTCCAAGTAGCCACCAGCCAAAGTTTCAACCCAATGCCAGAACTATCACCCAACTAACCGGCCATCCCCTCCCTAAAGGAGTGGATAGATCAATTAAAAAATACCTGGTCGGTAGTTAAAAAAGCACTAGACGATGCTAGACAAGCTTACAAAGCACAAGCAGACAAAAAAAGAACTGAACCAGAGCCATTCAAAATAGGAGAAATGGTTTATCTTTCAACCAAATACCTAAATCCCTACAGCCATCAAAGAAGCTGAGACCGAAATACATAGGACCATTCCCAATTGTTAGAGTCATAAACCCAGTAACGGTAGAATTGAAACTCCCAAAGTCACTCAGGCAAATTCACCCCATTTTCCATTGCAGCCTCCTCAAACGAGAGCAACAGTCGCCCTTAAGACCAGCTGTTGCTCCACCTCCCCCCCCCCCATTATGGTAGAGGGAGAACAACATTTTGAAATAAAAGACATCTAGACTCCACAAAACATCATGGCTGAATCCAATACTTAGTAGCCTGGAAATATCTTCCCTCTTCCCAAAACGAGTGGGTCCATAAACGCCACATTAACACCCCAAAGCTGCTGAAAAAGTTTCACACAGAATACCCAAACAAACCAGACTAACCTATATGCATATGTTTTTATCTCTCCACAGGTGGATCTCTCTTTTTTTTAAGGGAGGCAGGATGTCAGAACCCATATCAATAGGTTCCCCAATCCTTTCCTCCCCCTTCCTCCTAGGAGTGGAATGCAACCTCCAGCGACTGCTTTATCTCCGCGGCCCCAGAGAAGGTGCGAAGAGCTGCCTAAACATCGTAGCTACAACCAGAGACAGCCCGATATTAGCTCCCTGTTCCCACGAGGAACCTAACACCTGGGGATTGGGCCATTTGAACTGACCGGATGAACTATGGGGTGGGGTTTTGCTTGGGACACTTTTACCTATAGTTCTGCGCGGGAAATCCTCAGATCCTGTCTAGTATGCCTGCTATCAGCTTCTCCTAATAAAAGTTCCTTTTGGAAGAAACAGTTTCCAAGAGTTCTGCTTTCTTGGGATGAGGTTTTTAAGTGGACCACGACAGTTACTATTGCTCCATTGCAACCATTTAGCAAAATAACAGTATCAAAGCCAGAAAATGCAGATACACATGAATTTGTCAGTCAGAGACTTTTAATAACACAGTTACTGTTAAAGTAACACATTTAATTCTTTACATGTTGTCTTCCTAACAAAATTAGAATTAGGAAGAAACTCAAATCAGTTCAACTAATAATTTCCTCTGACAAAAAACATTTCAGAATGTCTAAATCAATTTTAAAATTCATCTTCTAAAGCATAATGTTCATTGCTGAATAATTATCCTTTTCTATTCAGCAACTTTTTTTTCCTCCTGTAATGTAAAAATATCATCATTTCAGAATGTCTAAATCAATTTTAAAATTCATCTTCTAAAGCATAATGTTCATTGCTGAATAATTATCCTTTTCTATTCAGCAACTTTTTTTTCCTCCTGTAATGTAAAAATATCATTAAGGTGTTTAAAAACTCCATTGATCAAGACACTAGCAATTAATAATCAACTATCCTTCCTGGCAAACATGCCTATGGCTGAACATAATAAAAATAAAATAAAATACCATTCTGATGACAAATAACTCTCCATTTTTAATGATGCAATGGCAAGAATTATGAAAAGCCTCTTTATCTCAGTTTTAATATTACACACTTTAAAATACTATAAAGAATAATCTGTTAAACTACAACAGGGAAAGCTTGAGCCAGCCAGTTTAAAGCAACTGCACAAGAATCAGTTTCTCCTGCTCTTGGCATTAATAGAGAAAAAAGGAGAAAAAAGCTATTTTGTAGGAAGCAATGCAGAAAATAATATCAACTTACCTATCAGATTTGAATTAAGGAAAGGAGTTGGAGATAATTCTTCACTGGGTCCTAATCGTTCATCACTCAAATGTTCATCATAGGAAGGAGTATCTGTAAAACTCTGTGCGTAATGATCAGTATTTAAGCTATTATTTTGCAGCTTCACTTACTAAGTTCAATTAAACTGAAATGAAAACATGGAAGTACAGTGGGTCATTTTTCATGAAATTGGATTTTAAATGTTGGTGTCACAGAGTATATAAACTGAAATTACCATTTTTAAACTTCTTCTGAGAACAATTCCAGGAAGACAATAGCACTTTGACACAATCAAAGACTTTGTCACAGTATATGTAACATATTCTTCATAATGATTAACTGTACCTTCCTTTTGTCCTCTCCCCTTCCAATACAGCAAATCCCCACATGTACACATCAAATATGTTTCATACAATGATGCCTGGGCACCTAGGAGCCTTTGGCTAAGACTCTGTGCCACCATAGTTTATGATACTAGTGCTCCTTGCTGCTGCCTGGCACCTATGTAAAAATGGGTAACAAGGTCTTTAGGTGGTTCTTCAGTCCACTTCAGACAGACTCAAGCAATATGTGTTAGAGAAACCTTTAATTAAAGGCTCACGTGACTGTGGTGACAATTAAAAAAATGTTTTAGGATCTCTTCTTGACAGTATTTGGAGATGGACAATTTGGTTATTATAAGTTGCACACTAAAAACTTCCAGTCTGGACTATCTTATCAGATTAATTGGCCTAAATGTATTTTACTCAACCTCCAAAACAAGAAATGACCAAAATCATCCACACATCCATGACAGGCATTCAGGAAAATCCTTAATGACACTGACAACTTGCTTATGACCATGAGGGTGCCTTCTCGTGACTCTGACCTGCTCCCCTCTGACAGGCAGCAGGGAGTAGCAGCTGCCCAGAAAACAGGATGTTCCTAACCAAGATCAAAATATATACTCTCTTTTATATTCAAACCCAGCACTATGTTTTAACAAAATATTGTGCACAAAGCACATCTATAATTTGCAATCTTTCAGTGGCTTTCTATATAACTAATGTGATAGTTTTTGAGTAACAGCATATCCCTGATTTTCATTATTTAAAAAAAATTAGAGTTATATTTAGATTTAGAATATTTGGTAGTATGCTGGTACCACTTTTATTAATAGCAATCCTTTATTAGTAACAATATCAGTAATTAATATTAGTAGTAGTATGAATACTTTTGTAAATTGGTTAACTTTACTCCATCTGGTGTCTTTATCCTATACTGTATTTTTATGTTGGATGTTTTAAATTGTTGATTCTATATTGTAGATATTTCGCTTTTGATAAAAATACTGTTCTGACTATAACTGAAGAGGTGTCATATAATGGAATCAATAAATATCTGCCTATTAGGATTATCCCATCTCTAAAAGCAGACATTTCTGGAATCTGATTGTTACCTCTTCTCTTCTCAGCCACCAAGACTTCCCCAGATTCATCTTGGTCACCCCAATAATGTAAGGCCAGTTGGCCTGCATTCCAAGTGAATGCATCATTCCTGAATTGTAGCTCTTCCCCTGTGCCTATCCTATCTGTATCTATCCACCCTTTGACTAAAATAGAGCTTTCTCCATGAGATCAGCTGGTCAGACGGAAAGCACAAATGGAAACCAGGAAAGAAAAGAGAACATACATACAAGAAGCAAATCCTACCTCCTCGTGTTTCAGCTTCTCCAGAGCTGTTGAAATATCTGAGGTTTTTCCAAGAAGGCTGCCATTTTCCTGTAAGAGAAATAAGATTTAGTATAATCAACCAACCTTTACATTTCTAAATAAACAAATCATAATCATAAGAAAACTAAATAAGAGGCTGATCAGTGGTCTATTTGGACAGTAGTTTATATTATAACTGTACAACTGTACACACACACACACACACACACACTGCTCTTGGAGATATTAGTAACCTGAAGCACATGTGCCACTTAAGAACCATGCTGTCCTGATATAGTTCCTCATATAATTAAGGAGGTGGTGACTTATCTCAAAGAGCACTTGCCAATCTTAGGAAAAGAGTATGCGAACTCTCATGAAAAATAAAAAAAGCTATAATGAGGGTTTGATGCTGTAGTGTTGGCCGCAATGATCTAAGTGCAGCTGGGATTCCCCTTGTGTTAACTAGCTAGGGAGACATTACAATTCTAGTTATCAAAGCACTCTTCAAGTGACTTGTGGTTACCATTTTTTGCTTGAACATTCTATATTCTACAAGAGGAGTGAACCTCTAGTCCAAAACACATCATTAAATTAAAATTTCCTAATATTCCTGATAATTACTGTAATCAAAATAATTGAAGTTCCTAGGAATTGTAATTAAACATCTGGAGGCACACAGATTATATATATATTTTAATCCCACCTTTATTGTTATATAAGTAACTCAAGGTGGCAAAGATACACAATGCTCCTTCCTCCTCCTCCTTGACCCACAACAACTATCCTGTGAGGTGGGTTGGGCCGAGAATGAGTGACTGGCCCAAAGTCACCCAGCCAGCTTTTGTGCCTAGACCAGCAGCCCCCAGCCTTTTGGGCACCAGGGACTGATTCTGTGGAGAGAGGGGACATGGTTTCGTGTGCTGCTTGCATCCCATGGATGGGGCTTCGCTTGTTTGCACAGCCCGGTTTCTGGCATGCTGCGGCCCGATGCTGGTCCACAGACCCCTGTTCTAGGCCAAAGGCTGGTGCTTCAATTAATAATTTAAAACCATTTAATTCTAGTAGTAAAAACTATTTTCTTCAACATGACCCAAACTATTTCAAACAAGCATACTATATTATTGATTCTACAGGTCAGAATTTCTTCAATTGCTTTACTGGACTTTTCTAAATAGAACATAATGACAATAAGCAAGTTTGTAATTTAGTTATTAACTATATTAGAATGATCCATACATAAGCTACTTTGGTGAAAACCTTACATCCACATTTTGGCTGGGGGCACCCATGTTTAATGGAAGACCTTCATGAGGAAACTGCAGTCAGGATAACTGTGGGAAACTTGAGGTCCTCTCTGGACAGTAATGAACTCTTGATTCAAACCTCACACTCTCAAACCTGGACAGCTGCTGTAACACATTTTCATGTCTCCCTAGCGTGTATCTCATCTTTTGATTAGTTGTGTTGGGAAATAATTTAGAGTTGCTCATTAAAAGCACCCCATGGCAAATAGGTTCAGGGAAGGGCTCAGATATTGGATATTCCTGAAATCAACATTAGCTACAGTTAAAGTATACTCTTACCCTTGTAGGTTCGTATGAAGGACTTGACTGACCGCTTGCTCCCCAAGATATCCCTCCTGCTCGTTCCTCCATACCTATCAGTAGAAAGAAAATGTATGCTCTATAATAAAGTGCAAAAATTCAAAAAAAAATCATGAGTTTAAATTATGCTCAACTATCAATCTCCTGAAAGCATTCAGAAGATACCCCAGGACAGCTTTCTCCTGACTATTCACACTCAAATTAGATGGCAGCTTATATTAAGTGAGGATATATACTGAAAAAAATGCTTTAAGCTTAGTTACATTGAATCACATTTGCCTGTTGATGACAATTAAGGCACTTTGGGAAGCTCTTCTTTGTATTTCCTTTATCTGTTTGCCATATAGTAGTATCTGTGATCTTACAGACTGCAGAGTCAAGCTTGATTGCAAGCCATTCACAAAGGTTATGAAATCCAATGCTTCTTTGTTCTTGTTATCAAATGCTTTTTGGAAATTTACAAAGTTTGGCAAGGGAAAAAAGTTTAGAGGTACAACTCTGCTGATTCATCTCTAACTGGTTGTTTTGCATGCTTTCTGGGGCTCTGGATCAACTCTGAACAGGATTCCAAAGAGATGCCTCAGAACAGTGAGAATGTGAATGACATTCCTTCAACCAGAGGTGTTTCTGGGATGTGAGGCAGTTGCAGAAACCTGGGGAAAGAAGTGGCTTCTTTAAAATGCTGGAGACAAGGGCTCTATGTAAGCTCTGATGTACCATTCTGCAAAAAATATCCAAAGTACCGCATACTTCTATTGTTTTTGACAGCACTTTCTAACAATATACCAAGAACAAAAACTTCAAGACAGTAATTCTCTGGGTCTACATTCATCATTTATTTTAAATCAGTGTTGAATTGCTTTACTTTTAAGTTCTATAAAGGTAGCTGATTTTACTAATAAATTTTAGTAACTTTTTCCCTCTAACTTGCCTGGATACACAACTGAACACTTGTGAATAAAAAGGATGTAACAACTATGCTAAACCTAATACAAAATGGCACAAAATCTTACACTAATAAATTGCATGACAAGTGACTTGTTTTTGAGAATTCTCTTTATACAGTAATGCCATATGCAGGACTTACTCAAAAAGCACAAAGAAATGACACGTTAAGCGAGAAATACTACTCCAATACAGAAGCAATGGAATCTCATCGTATGATTTGTATATTATCATTATAAAATGGTAATTTTCTAGAGCATTTCTCAGCGTCACAGTCCACTATGACTTTGCCACATTTTGCAGCTGACAGTGATGTAATAATTTTATTGTACTTGGTCCTAGGAGTGAGGAAGTGTAGTGGCTGGCACCAACAAAAGCAGAAGTCACCCATCGCATATAATTCTTTTCTCCATAAGAGAAGGCAAAATGACCACCATAGCAAATGCAAACAAAGATCTTTCGTATTCCAATGCAAAGAAAGAAAACAATACATTTAAACGACTGCAAAACCTACAGTACACATACTCTATAAATAGTGCTACAATTAGCACCTATAGCTTACATAGATGTAAGCAAGATTCCACTCCCATGAAAGACATTCTATTAAACTCACTTCTTATACTAAATTAGTAGGACTGCCTTTCTTCCTCTTGTGATCAAAATACAAAACAAGAAATACTAAGTTCTTGAATAGGGTGATCACCAGAGAGAAAAATTGTGGCTATGAGGACAGGAATCAGATAGTCAGGTGTTCCTTGTTTACTTAACAACTTTCAAAAGCAGCAGGAAATAAGCCAAAGAAATCATTTCACACTCACACAATTTCCATAATCATATTTAAAGATTCAAACCGGGCCAGTAAGTAATTTTCTCCCAAAGCCGAATAACTGGTTTATTAAGTGATCATGCAAAAATCAGGCTATGGAAAAACAAAAAGCACTGTCTATACCAGGGGTAGGCAATCTTGGCTCTTTTATGACTCGTGGACTTCAACTCCCAGAATTCCTGAGCCAGCCATGCTGAGGGGAAAGGGAGAGGTTTCCAAGCTGAGCCATGCTGGCTCAGGAATTCTGGGAGTTGAAGTCCACGTGTCATAAAAGAGCCAAGGTTGCCTACCCCTGGTCTATACATTTCTGTTTCACACAAGGAGTCATTATTTTACTGTAATAATCTTTAGGTGATGGGTTTTTTTTACATCTTTAAATATTTTTTGATTATGCACTCTATTTTTTTTATTTAATTGAAAATTTTATAACATTTTACAATATAAGTCCCTCCCTCAAACCCACCCTTCCACCCCCCTCCCTCCCCCCCACTTCCCAGAGCCAATCACAGGAATAATAATAAAATAATAAATCTATAACCTCCTTTAACTCTATCTGAAAACTGTTAAAATAACAAATCTGTAACCTCCTTTAACTCTCTTTTCAACAGATATATAATTAATAAACACGATAATAATAGTATCATATTAATAGTTAAAATTAAAAATAAGTACTCTAAAATTCAATTAAAATTCAATTAAACGCAATAATATTAATATCATATTAAGAAATAAAAAATAAAACTAAATCATTTAAGCAACAATAACATTCTGGACTTCACTAAAAAAAAAACCCCCACTCTTTTAGACCCATATCCAATTAATAAACACACTAATAATAACATCATACTAACAATTAAAAATAATAATAAGTAAACTGTTATAACATTTAAACAACAATAATGGTCTAAAATTCATAATCTACTCTATTATTAATAAATTGCTCCCTAAACAAAATCAATCAAAGAAGAGAAAGAAAAACAAACAAACAAAAAAAAACCCATCCTTCCATAACCTTATTCATTCTTCTTGCCGTTAAATTAAAAAGCAAAAAAAATAAAAAAATTCTTATTTCCAAAATTAATATCTCAATTCATACGTCCAGATTTTTAAGTACTCTCTTTATCATTTAAACAACAATAACATTCTGGACTTCACTAAAAAAAACCCCACTCTTTTAGACCCATATCCAGTTATTAAGCACACTAATAACAAAATCATTAACAATTAAAAATAATAATAAGTAAACTGTTATAAACAACAATAATAGTCTAAAATTCATAATCTACTCTATTATCAACATAATAAATTGCTCCCTAAACAAAATCAATCAAAGAGAAAAGAAAAAAAAAAACATCCTTTCACAGCCTTATTCATTCTTCTTGCAGTTAGATTAAAAAACAAACGAACAAAAAAAAATTTCTTATTTCCAAAATTAATATCTCAGTTCATATGTCCACATTTTTAAGTACTCTCTTTCTTGCATCTATAAGCTGCACTAAGTTACTTAGTTTCATCTTGATCTTGTGATTTTGTCGCACTTGATGATAGTATAACTCCTTCAACCACTTAATCTTCATAAGTTCCTTCCTTCCTGGTACCTTGTCGGACAAAAGGGCAGAATCTTTTCTTCTTCTAAATACTTTAAGTGGTATTTTCTGCTTATAAAAAAGCTGAATGATTCCATTACGAATTGATTTTCTAGAAGAGTAGATAACAACATCTCTTGGAAGGTTTTTCTGTCTTGCAACCCGTAAATTAATTCTATAATTTTTTTCCATTTCTCTCATAATATCTTCAGGCTGACAATTCAGAACCATAACCAAATCTGCTGCATCCTCTTCCTCCGATTTCTCTCGAGGATTTTCTCTTATTATCGAAGCATATTCCAATTCTCTATACTGTGACATAACGACCTCATTTTGAATTAAGTCCACTTTTTCCTCCATTTCCAATTCAAATTCCAAACTTTCAACATATTCCTCTACTTCCTTGTCCCATCCATCAACACATTCTTCATGACATGCTAAGCCTTGAGAGGCAGACAATAAATCTTTTCTCATCTCTGCATTTTTCTCTTCAAATTTCTTATCAGTAAGTTTCTCCATATCCATTCTAATCTGTCTTACAATGTCTTTCAATACATCCTGTATCTCTTTCAATATAAATGCTGAAGTTAGGGGGGAAGGCGGANACTTGCACAAACAATCCAAAGTAGCTAAATCTGTTACAATAAAATAATCCAAGAGAGAGTTTCCAAAAAGTAAAAGTCTCATATATTTCCAAAAAACGAAAGTCTCATAAGTTTCAATCAAACGAAAAGAAACGCCCTTCCGCAGCCATATTCCTTCTTCTTCAAATTAGAATAAATACAAAGAAGATTCCAGAGTTAAGGTCCCATTTCGAACAGTTTTCAAAAAATCCTGTTAGGCTCTGTCTGCATGATAGGTGTACTCACAGTCATTAATTTCCTAAAACAGCAGAGATTAGATGCGCGTCTGGCTTCGTTCTATTGAACGAAGGAGCCCGAAGCACGGAGAAGTCCCCGACTCTGGGGGAGCTCACCTAGCCCTCCCAGCTGGAAAAATGCGAAGGCTAAGGAGCTCTACCCCTATCGGGGAAGCTCACCCCCTCCCCTTTGCCCGGGGAGGGGGATTGAGCCGCGGAACAGCTGTTCCTGCGGCTCTAACGTGTCCTTGGGGCAGGCAGCCTCGAAGGGAAGCTGCCATCGGCGCCGCGATCCAACCGGAAGCTCCGATTATGCACTCTATTGAAAATAGTTTGAAAACAGTTTTTCAATGTCATGCAAATAATGATAATGTCAAAGTATCACTTTTGTTACTGAATTACTTTCTTACTATTGAATAGCAAACCAGACACAAAGGTGTAATACCAAAAAGCCATTGGCTTTGCCAGCCAATCAACTGCACTTGACCCAAATAACACACTTCCCAACAAACAACATTCTATCAAGACCCCTAATTATGATTTTCTAGGAAAGCTGTGAAATCCCACCTGCTTCCTTATTATTTTGCACTTTCACTAGACTGTTCCTGGGTTTTGCCCTTACAATAAATCAGATTTACTTATGCAAGCCACCTAGATTTGTTTTTTACTTTCGTAAGCAAGCCAAGATGCTCTTAACAAGTTGTAATAGGACTGTTGAAAATAGTGTAACAATACTGCTATCGCATGTTCAGAACCTCCATCAGCCCTCTTAAGTGAAAGCAAAATTCATCCCTCCTTCCCACTTGCTCCCCCCCTCCCCTCAGCTGCTTTCTGCAA